CCTCCCCCTCTCCCATCCCCCTTCCTGATCTGGGTTCAGGGCCTTGCATGTGCTAGGCAAGCACTCTTCTGAGCTGAATCCCTAACCCCAGCAATATACTTCAGCAGACAACATTGAAACTGGTACCTATGCAGCCAGTTAATGGTTTCAAGTACATTCTACTGTTCCCCCTGCCCATGTCCTGGGAGGGGGCCCTCCACCAAGGTGCTTAGCCTTTCAAGGCTAGCTGTCCTGTCCTGGGCTCTGGCAGTCTGGGACCTTTGACTTCTGCACTACTGCTCATAAAGTTGCTTTTCTCTTTCTCTGTTTGCTCCCCCATCTCCTCCTCCCACCTGGTCATATTACGTGTCTGTTGTACAGTCCAGTGAGCAAATGTGAAACATGACACTTCTTTCTTGACATGTGTAGCAAAAGTTTAATTGTACAGATGTGCTGGCGTGTAAAGAAAACGTTTCGGAGCGTTCGTGTAACATGCAGCATGGCTGTTCCTGCAGCTCGCTAATGTGGGCCAGTGTGTGTGGTGGGCTTCGTGTCCTTGGTGGTGGTTATTAAGAGGTGATGGGTGTGCCAAGGCAGGCTCGGGGGACGCTGGGAAGGCCGTGCTTATGGCTAGGTGTGGACATGCCACACACAGACTGCTCCGAGTGGGCAGAGGCGGAGTCCCACCTCTCTGGCTAGGTGTGGACATGCCACACACAGACTGCTCCGAGTGGGCAGAGGCGGAGTCCCACCTCTCTGGTCCCTCTCTGGCCTGTGCTCGCTTGCTCTCCTGGGAGGGAGTGACCTGCTTCCACCAGTGGCTCACTGAGCCAGCCGGCCCTGACTTGTTTGAGGTCTTCTCTTCAGGAAAGAACACTTTGAACTTCTTGACCAGGGTACCATCACACAACAGTGGCAGAAAGCACGGCTGGTATTTGACATGGTTTGCTATGGTTCTCCTGCCCTGGTCCAGGGCAAGAGGGAGGTATATTATGTGCAGTCTGTTGAGTGAACCTAGACTTTAGAACTTGTCCTTTCGTGGAAACCAAAATGCTTTTTGTTACCTGGAAATTAAGTACAATAATAGAATGCAGTTTTACTTGGATTCTTGTTGTGATTTAGTTTTGTCAGGTGGATTTTTCCTACAGCTGGGAGAGTTGAAAGGACAGTGCTGAGAACATCTTTATCCTCCCCTGGACCCTGTGCACATTTCTTCTTTCATTTTGAGTGATTTGAAAGTTGTTCAGCACAATCCTGACTTACCTCTTGAATATGTCAGCTGATCTCCTGAGAACCAGGTAGTCCTTCTCTTGCAATCCTAGGATACTACCGCACTTCCTCAATACCATCTCATCTCTTTTCTCCATTTACATTTCTCAGCTGCCATGGCATCTTCTGTAGGTTTGTTTGTCCGTTTGTTTATTTTGGCCAGTCCTGGGGCTTGAACTCAGGGCCTGGGCGCTGTCCCTCAGCTCTTCAGCTCAAGGCTAGCGCTCTACCACTTGAGCCATAGCGCCACTTCCGACTTTTTTCTTTTTGCTTATGTGGTGCTGAGGAATCGAACCCAGGGCCTCAGGCATGCAAGGCAAGTGCTCTACCACTGAGCCACCTTTCCAGCCCACTTTTGGCTTTTTCTATTCATGTAGTACTGAGAATGGAACCCAGGTCTTCATGCATGTTAGGCAAGCACTCTTATCACTGAGCCACCTTCCCAGCCCTTTTTAAAAATTTTTTTTTAAATGATGTAAGCTGGTAGCTCATGCCTGTAATCCTAGCTACTCAGGAGGTTGAGACCTGAAGATTGCCGTTCAAAGTTAGCACAGGCAGAGAGTCTGTGAAACTCTTTATCTCCTATTAACTATCAAAAAAGCCAGAAGTAGAGCTGTGGCTCAATTGATAGAGCACTAGCTTTGAGCAAAACACTCAGAGAGAGTGCCTAGGCCTTGAGTTCAGGTCACAGGACTTGCACAAAAAGTGTTCAGATTTAATGTGTACTTACATTCACATATGGACATACTCAAGAACCCGTGTGGGCTGGGAAGGTGGCTCAGTGGTAGAGTGCTCGCCTTGCATGCATGAAGCCCTAAGTTCAATTCCTCAGTACCACATAAACAGAAAAAGCCAGAAGAGGCACTGTGGCTCAAGTGGTAGAGCGCTAGCCTTGAACAAAAGAAGTACAGTGCCAGTGTTTAGATCCTGAGAGTTCAAACCCCAGGGCTGGCAAAAAAAAAAAAAGAATCAGTGTGATTGAAGGATGGATGGGGAGAGGCTGGTCAATGGCTAACAAGTCATAGTTAAATAATGAAGTTCTTGGCTGGGTGCTCGTGGCTCACGCCTGTTATTGTAGCTGGCCCTGGCAGGAAAATCCGTGAAACTCTTATCTCCAGTTAACCACCAGAAAACTAGGAGTGGCGCTGTGGCTCAAAGTGGTAGAGTGCTACCCTTGAATGAAAGAGCTCAGGTATAGCATGAGTTCAAGCCCCAGGACCGACTAAGAAAATGAAGTTCTTATGGGTCATTGCCCAGTAAAGTGACTGTGTGGTCAGTGGTTACGTGCTGTGTATCTGCTAGAAAAAGGGATTTGAAGGTTCTTACCATAATGAAGTGATAACTGAGGAGATCAGATACATATTCACACACATACAATGTGTTGGATCATCACAAGTTACCCCATTACATTAAGGTGGACCATTTTTTCTCTCTTTTGAAGTGTTGCTGGGATCTCACTGGCCTGTGTTTTGGCTAAACGATGGGGCAGAGGGTAAACTCCACTTCTCCGCACCCAGGTGGGCCACACAGAGTGGACTTCCTGCCCCAGGACGCTGGAGGCACAGGCAGCTCCTTCTGTGTTTGTGGAAGGCTTCTGAGGGGGACTTTCACCTTGCTTCTGAAAAAGCCTGATACTCTGCCTATGTCAGCCAGGGGGCCAGGGCCTCGAGGTTCAAACACAAGCAAGCCCTGGAGGGCCTGCCGTGGCTGAGGAAGCCTGGTGCCCGCCTTTGTTCCGAATGTAATTTTTGAAGTAGTTTTCTTGTTTAAAGAAAAATAAGTAATCAGAGCATCTTTAGATGTTTTTGAGACTGTGCTTGAATTTTTCTGTTAATCCACTCTATCAGGAAAAGCATTCTTTTTATGTATTATGTGTTATGTATTATGTATCCTTAAGCAACATTTGGTTTTATGCCTAGTTGTCTTCGTGAAACACCCTCGGGTTCGCAGCCCTTCCTTATTTTCTGTGTTACATATTTTTCTTTTTCTTTTTTTTTTTTTTTTGGGGCTTGAACTCTGGGCCTGGGCGCTGTCCTTCAGCTCTTCAGCTCAAGGCTAGTGCTCTACCACTTGAGCTACAGTGCCACTCCCGGTTTTCTGGTGGTTTATTGGAGATAGGAGTCTCACGGTCTCTCCTGCCCGGGCTGGCTTTGAACTGAGATCCTCAGATCTCAGCCTCCTGAGTAGCTAGGATTACAGGCGTGAGCCACCAGCGCCCGGCTCCTGTGTTACATATTTTTCAACACCTTCTGAGGTCAAACTGAGTAGAATGTTAAAGCAAAATATCTTGGGCCATTAGAATTGCAAGAATGTCAGGAAGAAATGGACGCAGCGAAGAGCTGGCTGCTGAGAATGTCTCACTATTCAAAATCTTAGGTCGTAGTGAGGGGAGCTTTGCAGCAGTTGATGAAGTCACGCCACCTTGTTTGTTAAATTCTGGGCCACGGACTTGATTATGCACCATGGTTTGCTGTCAGCTTGGTTTAGTGGTCCATAATCCCTGAAGGATATTCCTATGCGCAGTTCTTCTATCACCAGGACTTACGAAGAAATTGGAATGTTGCCATTTGTAATTTCCTGTTTATAATCCCTTCCACCTTTGGGCCTGTCTGGTGGTAATTTCTCATTTGTAATTCCTTTGAGTAATCCAG